GCTCCGGCTGCGTGTCCCCCCAGGAGCGGGGCTGGCACCGTCCCTTGGGGTGTTGAGAGACCACCTCTGTGTGCCGCCTCCGTGGGGATAGCTGGGCTCGTGTTGGTTGGTTCAGAGCTAGTTTTGCACCACCGGGGGGTCTGGGGACCTGCTGCCAGCGTAGCCATCCTCTCTGGGATGCAAGAAGCCGGCAGCAGGAGCGGGGGGAGCCGCAGACCCGCGGCACTGTGTTGGCTGCCGGTGCTCTGGGTGCAGCTGTGTCTCACGGGACTTCTGTGGCCTTGGGGTTTGGTGCCTCCTCGTTACAGCCGTGCAAACAAGCCTAGGTTCCTGGCTGCATTAGACGTGCCGTCCCATGGCACAGACGGACGGTCCAGAAGCGTGACCTTGCAGACATGGTAATTGCTGCTTCAGAAACACTTTTGCTTCTCTGGTTTTGGATTTACTTATCAGGGGTGTTAGTAACGAGGGTGGTGTTTTGTTTTGACAGTCCTTCCTGGCATCGGCTCCGCAGCTGCAGTGCTGCTTAAATTAGGTTTTGCCCTCGGAGGACTCTCTGCTCCTCTGGATTTGATACGGATCTCTTTTTATTCTGAGGCATGAATTTGCTAACACAGAGTTGAGCACCCCTGACACTGCAGAGGATGACAGCAGAAGATCTACTTCCCTTCGGGGGTCTTGTAATTACAGAGTCTCTGTAGGTGTAATTACCAGGGTGAAAGGTTTGCTGGCCTAAGCCTGCCCTACTCCAGACAGTTAAATATAGGCAGGGACATTCGAGTCGGTGCCCCTGTGCTTTCCTGTAGTAATTGTGCTTTCACAATAGCAGTGTGCAAGGATCAGAGAAACAGGACTGTCTTGTGGAGGGAAAATCCTTGTCGTAGGAAGGCAGCTGCCAGTGACGCTCGTCCGCTCTGTCTGAGGTGCCTCTAAGGAGCCGGGGTCACCGACACGAGCCTGGGTGCTGATGGCAAGCTGCTCCTCCAGCAAAGGTGGCTATCGCCAGGTCTGACCTGGCTGCTGCGTGCGAGTGCCTTTGCCCTTCTCTGACTGGTGCTGGCCACGGCGCGGGGAGCCGTGCGCGCTGCTTGTGCTCCCGTAAGGAACCGACCAGCGTCTCCCTGTGTGCCCACCACAAAAGAACCTGTCCTCTTCCAGAGGCAACACGGCAGTAGCAGCTGTGAGCAAGGGGCTGAGAAGAAAGCAGACGATTAGGCGGGGGCTAACCGTGCTGAGCCAAAGCACCGGGTCTGGGAGCCCCCCGGCTGTGTAGGACATCCCGTTAGACAGACCGAGCACTCTGTGCAAGTGGAACGGGGAAGCAAAACTTCACAGCAGGGGAACCAACTGAAGGAAGAGAAAGGACTTTATTTAGGAAATGCAGCTTCAAACTTTGAAACTTGCCGCAGCTACTTGGACCTGGCACTGAGGCCGCTGCCTGGCTGGAATTGCCGTAGTTTAGCAGTTTGCCTCCCAGCAATCACTGATGGCTCACTCACCATTTGATGTAGGGATTTGTCAACCTGGCTTCTACTCGTGGTTGTTTCTCGATTGCCACAGTCCCCTGGGGTTTCACAGTCGTCGTAAGGCATAAGCGAGCAGCCAGGTCCTCAGCCCAGCTTCTCTCTGGGTTTCGTTCTCCGTGTCCCCTTTTGCTCTCGTTCTTACGTACCCGTTCAGGGTTTGCCAGCACAAATAACTCTGTCGCAGTGACTCCTTCACAAAGTCTTTCTTAACAATTCAGTCCACGCTGTGTGTTCGCATGCCTGCGGCAGGCGTGTTTGAGGTGTACAGTGGGTCCGTGAGAACCCGACCGTCCGCGGGGGACCTCCGAGAGGTGAAGTCTCCGCGTTGCGCGTTGGAGAACGGCTGTGCTCGAGGCGGCGATCCCCTGGGCTGTGTTCAGGGTGGGTGCCACACGGCAAAACTTGTGTAAGCTTCGACTGCGAGGTTGGTGATCGCTCTTTCCACCACTGCTGATGGAGAGAGAACTACTTCCCTCCCGCATATCGCCCTTCTTGTCTTCTGCTTTCGTTCTGAGGCTGTTCAGAACCACACGGTAAAAGCTTCGAAACAGAAAATTCCCAAACTCCTAGCCTATATTTTCTTGTCCCGGATGTGTCTTTGACATTAAAGCACTTGCCCAGCAGTTTCTGAACTACATGAACCCCATGTTAGCCAGTGGTGAATAGGTTTTTGATCTATTCGTGTGACCCAAGTTTGCTTGGCATCGCAGAGATGGAGAGGGGAGCGATACCTCGTCGGTGGGGCTTTTGCCTCGATGCTAACAAGGACAAAATGCTACCACTGCCTGTGCCACAAAGTATTGCCAGAGGGCAGTCTTGAGGCGTAGCTGAATGCAGGGTAGGCAACAGACTGTGAAAGTGGAGCCAATGGGAAGTGGCCTCCTCTTCTGGTTGGGTCGGCCAGAATTTTTCCATGGGAATACTGCATTGCACCTTGGCATTGTTGCATGTTCTGATCTGGAAAATGCGAATAACCGGTTCCGTTTCACCTCTTGCATCTACAGGAAAGAAAGAAGAAGTTTGAGAAGGATGGTGAGAAGTTTTATTCTATGCTGGATCGCCATTTGCATTTGTCTTCCAAGAAGAAGGAATCCCAGTTACAGGAGGTGTGTATGGAGTTGTCTTCAGAGCTGGGTCCAGAAGCAACACCGCCAGCTGCGCTAGATCTTAAACAAGGGGGGGAAATCATCCCTTTCAGAAACCAGTTGGAGTTGATAAGCAATTAAGTCTACCTAAAGCCTGGATTCTCTGGATAAGACCAGGGAAATCGAGATCGTAGCGTGTCAAACGGCAGTAGTGGGTGTGTGTATCATCATCGCGTGTTCTCACCCTTACAGTACAGGGCGGTGACTGGTTATACTGGCACAGCCGGGGTTTGGCCCCCCTTTCACCTGGCTTGGGGAACTGGTCTGGCTGAAAAATAGCTGGTTATGACTGGTTTTGCCAGTGTAGTTTCCTGCCTGGCTCCTGGTGTTTGCAGGGGCCGTTGTGGCAGCAGGCCCGTGGTGGCAGCGAGCAGGGGAGCTTCAGCCAAACACGTCGCAACAAGAAAGGAAAAGCCCCAGCTGTTCCAGCCCCCGTTGGGGTATCTGGATCACATCAAATCTGCCAAACCAGATCAACCTACGAGCATCTTTGCAAGGCAAAATTTCCGTAAGCTGTGGTAGCACGGCGTGCCACCTTGTCCTACCTGGTGCTGCCGTTCTGGAATCGCTGGGTTGGGGTCACAGCTGGAGTCAGGCGAGAGGATCGTGGCAGTGGCCTTGTCCTCACCGGTGCAGGGCTGCGGGTGGAGAAGGAGCTTATGCTGAAATAACAAATATGCTTCGGGAAAGCCCTGTCCTTGCAGAGTGGGGTGAGGTTCTGGATCCATAAATGGAAGGGAGGCAGCAAAGGGCAGACCTGAGGAGAGCGGCCAATGCTCCAGTCTTCTGGTTCTGTGCAAAGTGTTCAAAACCTGGGCCAGATGCCTTTGGCAAGCTTTTGCTTCAGTGAGGACAGGACTATGTGTGGGCTGGCACACAAGTGCTAGGCAAGTAACGTCAAGCTAGATGTGATGTATTTTGTTTTTTCACCTCTCCCTCTTTCTTCCAGGCTGACCTTCAGGTTGACAAAGAGAGACACAATTTCTTTGAGTCCTCCCTCGAGTATGTGTACCAGATCCAGGAAGTGCAAGAAAGCAAGAAATTCAGCATTGTTGAGCCGGTAGGAGCTTCCTTTTCTTTCAGGCCTTGTTGTTTGATGCTCAGATACCCTGGCGTGCTGACAGTCACAGGACAGGATGAGTTACCAGGTTGGATTCGGTCCTGGGGAGTCTTGTGATGGAGCAGGAGTTAACCTTTCACACTTGGATTGCAGCTTCACAGCCTTAGTGGTGTTTGCTGGAGCACCACGAAGCCACAGACTTGTTTCTCATGTCTGTAAGTGGATCCTGAGGAACAGGCTGGACGCTGTAGGTAGCCAGAGGTCTTGTTATGAATTGCCTTGGACACCTTGTGTTTGGCAAGTGTTAGCTGTCTTCAGAGGGAGAGGGTTGGTATCTGGTCTGCTTACCTGTCACGGCACGGGCTGCAGCGGGACCAGCTCGCGGCTGTGTGCAAGGACCCTGCCCTGGGTGGGTGGCTCTGCCCCGGGGCCCGACACAGTTGAGCGTGGGATCGTGTAAGGTCTCGAGGACAAGCAATCTACAGATCTGCTCTTGTTCTCCCAGCAGGGTCTTTCATTTCGGGTGTGTTTTATTAAGACAGATGTGTGGGTGGTAGACCTGGGCCTTGGGGATGTTGCGGCGGATAAGTCATACCGCATCAGACTTGCATCACTCCAGAACTGTAAGGGGAAAAAAAATATTGGATATGTAATTTCTGAAATCCTGCTGCCTGTCTGTCTGTCCTCTGGTCAGAAATATAGCAGAGAAATTTAATCTGTCCTTTCCCACCTCTGCAGGTGCTGGCTTTTCTCCACAGCCTCTTTACTTACAACAACCTGACAGTTGAGCTCACGCAGGATTTCCTCCCTTATAAACAGCAGCTCCAGCTCAGCCTGCAGAATGTGAGTTCCTGCCCAGCTGAAGTATTTTTTCCATGTGACTTCTATTCTCATTTGTGTTTAAACGCCTCTGGTGGCAAGGTTTTTCCACGCAGAACAGCCCGTCCATGTTTGCATTGTGGGAGGTGCAGATAAAGTTATTTCCGTCTCGGTTCCTGTGTGTTTTCTCCTCTCCGGCACAAGAACGTCCGCAGGTGCCGTTGCAGTGTCTGTCTCTGTCTAGAAGGGGCTGTTGCAGTTCTGTCATTTAACCTTGTGCATAACAAGCCTGAGAATTTCTTCCAATTTCATGAGCTCGGAATTGTACACGTCTTGTAAAAAAGGCCTCCAACCTTGATCTTAAAGGTATCAGCTTGCTCTGGTCAGCTCCTCGGCTGGCTAACTATACTCGTGGGGTAAAATACCTGTGTCCTGTTTCTTTCACCCTCGGTCTTTCGCGGCCGGCCCTCATTCCCATGGAACGACAGCCACACATCTGTGCAAAGCTGCGGCTGCTGCTGGCTCATTAATTGGTCTAAGTGGTGTTCCATAAGAATGCCTTGATTTTGTACCCCGTGTTGGCGTGACTCTGTAAAAATGACTTCACGCCGAGCACGATCTTTTGAGGAATCCACGCCTTCGTTCTGTAGAAGAATACGCCTGTTACCCAAACAGTGGCACAGCGAGGAGTTCAGTGCTTCCTCTGGCTCCACCTAGCATTAAAATGTGCTAAGTTTCTGTTGTTGAAAGAACAAGTGTCCTCCCCGTCGTGACTGCCCAACACCATTTCCATGTGCGGTATGCTCCACCTTGTCTCTCCTCTTTGGAGAGTCCGGTTGTTCTCCTAGCCGGAGTTTTCATGTGCATTTGTGGAGCGGCTTCCACGTTTTGTGCATTGGGAACCGATTCATTTCTGCCAGAGCGCCTCTCATTTGACCAGGAATACCCGAGGCTCGCTCTTTGCTCATGTCTAAATGTGCTGCTTTTTGTTTATCTTAACAGACAAGGAATCATTTTTCCAGCACGCGGGAGGAGCTGGAAGACCTGAAGAAGAGGATGAAGGAGGCCCCCCTGACCTGCAAGCTACCTGGGCAGCCGACCATCGAGGGCTACCTGTACACTCAGGAGAAATGTAATGGCTTTTATGTGCACCGAAATGTGTTGCAGGACACGCGAGCCTGGGCTGCCCTGCTCATAGCCCCGCTGCGTGGGGCTCCCGTGCCCAGGCCAGCTTTAGCCACGGCGTCGCTGTGGGCTGTGCTGCACGGGGTGTCACTGCCTGCCAGTGCCCGGGGAATCACCGGCAATGTTAGCTGCCAGCCTTCTCAGCGGTGGCCCGGAGCTTTCTCTGGGTTACATGAGCCATGTAAGCAAGGAGCTAATTGCCCTGCGCTCAAATTAGATGAGATTTATTACTCTGTTGTAGTGCTGGAGAGGCCAGAGCTCTGGCAGATTGCGCCTTGGCTGCGTTTTATCGGAACAAATCTGGTGTCCTGCCCAGCTTCCCTCTCACGGCATCTCTGAGGGCATCGGAGCACAGCTGAAGCGTTAACAGGCGATGAGAGTTAAGGTGCTGAGAGCCAAACTTGTGATGCTGTGCAGAATCAAATCGAGCCCAATTCAGTCTTTTACAAAGTCTCGCTGTAGCTTTCCATGGCCGTGCGAGCATGAACGCTCGGGGGACAAAAGACTCCATGCGGAGCTGTGGCCTCTGAGTTACAGCCAACTTTGTGAGCAGTTATTTTTTGGATTATGTATAGAAATATATTTATCCATATATTTATATGCATGTTTGTCCCGCTTTTAAAAGAAAACACACAGTAATTTCGGGTCACAAACAAACGTGGCATGTTCCTGCATGGCAGTGACTGTTTGCTGCCTCTGTTTATGTGTCCCCTATAAACCGAGCATGAAGGGAGTTGTTCCTCCTGACAACAGCAATTTAAAAAAAATACAGAAAAAATATCAGTTGAAGTGTTTAATATGGAGGGGTTCAGGTGAGACAACAAAGAAAAGTGACAGTAAGCCTACTGTGATATAAATAGGAACCCTAGAGTGTTTTAAAGATGCTGTTGTCTTCACTGCCAAGTTTTCATCAACAGGAAAAAACAGGGGTGTCTGTGTGAAACGAGCATTCAAGGCACGTAGGATCCTGCCGGTGTAGTTCTTGGCTGGACTTGGGCAAACCAGCCTGGCTCACAACCAGCGTCCCACAAACGCCCTTTCACCAGCAGCGTTTTGGGGAGGGCGCTGCAGGCAGCTGCCGCCCCGCCCGCCGCCGCCCCTCTCACT